CAGTATCCAGTAATTATTGACTCGATTAATGTTATGTGAATAAACTTGATTTTTATGTCTTATGTAAATTCTTACGTAACTTGGCTGATGGTTGAATTTCACAAAAAATGTTGCGGCCCTTAGTGAATTTCTGACTCATTGCGGACTCATTGAAACGCTCCGCGGACTCATTTGAGACCGCGGACTCGGGTTGGGAAACACTGTCCTAGATCCATGATGTAAATGTTAAATTTATTTTTTGTTTATTAGTTTTTAATTTCTTCTGTAAAACTCAAGTTCAGAATCGTTTTATTCAACATTACCTTCAAACTCATATCGGTATGTATCAGAACTGTACAAATAAGACAATTTACAATGCTATCCACTCATTATATACCCGCTCATAAGGATTGAGTCTGAATTCTTGTGCGTGCATGCGCATCAATTTGAAAAAAGAAAAAATTGAATATACGGACACAGTAATCGACTTATTTATAAAATTACATAGTTTTCATTTAACTAGCAGTAGTGGTTGTGGTAAACTACTTGTCTCAGGAAGTCTGCCTTTGATTGGACGAAACGTTAGAGAAATAAATTTGTGCCAGTGTGCAGCAGGACTCCTGAATTGCATAGGTTTTAATTTTTATTTGGGAAGTGATAGATTGCTCAAGAACATTTTGGAAAAAAAACATGACGTGTATTTGTGAACAAATACAAAATAGTCGATAAACGATTCAAAACAAGAAGGATATATTTTTCGAGTCAAAACGCCGAGGCTGCTACATTGGCCTATCTGTGAGTTATTAATACTTTACTGCCAACTTTCTTTTAAAATATGGATCTAGAAAAGATGTAATGCAATTTGATTTTAATGAATCACCGTTGATAATAGCTTGGAATTCGTTAAAAATAAGAAATCTCGAATATAACATCCCCAAGTATCATTTCCTATCAATATTTTAAATTTTCATTTACTCCTGACAACCATAAATGATTACTATAAAGGTGCAATTTTAAAATAAAACCCCTTCATATATATTTACTAATATTCGGTGGTTTTTGTATAGAGCGGAACCCCATAAAACATACTAGTGGCTCACAAAACTCCAGTGCAATAGTCAATCTTTTTCTCTCAAAAGGGACGATTCTATTAGGCATATGATTATATTTAAAAAATATACTTTTATTAATCTAAACTGTAAGATTTGAATGAAAACTTGCGGAACCGCTGCAGTTTACTAGCAGAACCCTGAGCTGCGTAAATCACGATTTAAAACCACCGCCATCAATCATCAACTTATATTTAATATATGGATACATGATATTATACATATAATATACTGATACAAAATTTATAAAGCTGTATTCTTGTATTTACTGATGCAGAGCAGTATATTGTGGCTTTTTAAATTGGTGCTAGCTTGTGTTGTACTCATTGGTACCTGAGACGTCATTTGTGCGTCAGTAAATAGATAATGTATCAGAATACTTGGTACAGTCTTCAGCCACCGTTTGTAGGGTTAAGATAAATCAATATATCTTGGTATATCTCGCACAAGATTTGTAATTGGTAAGAAGAAATAGGTATATATTTAAACGAAATGACAAATAGATGCAATTTTAACATTTCGTATAGACTTTATTCTAATTTAAACAAATATTCAATATATTTTGACCGAACGGCATTATACTATAGGGTGTCCCAAAATAAATTAAACCCACTAATTCGATTACTATTCATTACCAAAACAAAACATGTTGAAAATGTTAATATTTTCTGTGAGCTCATTTAATAACAATTGAGTACTTTTAGCTAGATTTTAAGGTTTATTTAAATACATGCTCCAAATGGCCACCATTCCGTTTCAGACATTATTGACCCTATAATTTACTATGGCACATTCTTCTCTTCCATACCAATTTCAATTCAGCAATAGATTTGGTCCCATTCTGATTACCTATGTCTTTTAACAAGCCCCACAGGTGGAAATCTGCAGTCTCAAGTTTGGCGAATGTGGCGACCATTCTGTAACTTCTTGTGGAAGTGTGTGTTTTTCAACAGACTTATAGGATTTAGTATCTCTAATTCCCGAGCCATTAGGTTTCAAAAGAATATTTTGTTATCTATAACTGTTAGCAAATCGAAAATACATAAACTATAGGGTTAAAATCTACATATTTATTATCAATTTTGAGGGTTCATTTTGCGACACTTCAGATTTTCGAATATACATCATTTTTGTCTCAGCCATACATAGGAATTCCATTGAGAATTCTTATACTCATAGTAATAAATATCATGTTAAAACATATTTTGAATTATCTAATAGAGCGAAAATAAATCATGAGAAGTTACCTTCCAGCTTTTCCTGAAAAGAAAAATAGGATGCTAGTTGTGGCTCAGTTATACATTATCCAAAGTTTTTACCATTAAAAACAACCCGTCTAAAGATTGGCAAATTTGCGTAAAGTAGTAATTCCAAACACAAACTTAAACATATACTACACCGACCTCATCGCAGCATTATTCCTAATTAATTGCGGAAATTGCCTCTGTATTGCGTGTGGTATATCAATTTTCTCTTCCTGGTTCAATGTGTTAGCAATGTTATTCTGGTTTGTACAAATTAATTACAAATATGCCTCAAATTACTTTCATATCGTGAATCGTTAGGTAAGTAATGTAGGTGGATGAAATTACCTTGTTCGATATGCTGTGATAAGAGTAAAGTAAGTGAAGTGCAAGTAAAATAATATGCGACATATCCACAAATATTTATCGTTTACTTCCTTTCTGTACGATAACGTGCTCAGTATTACTTGAGATAGATTGGGTTGATGAGCGTTACAAATACGAAACAGGCTATTATTTCGCAAGATTATTGTTCATTTTTTCTACGTTTTGCGACAGACATATTTGATTAGTTAGGTATATCATAATAAGGTTTGTTGGATATAATCTAATGAATTCTTATATCAAATCTCGAATATGGTTTAAATCGCCAAATCCAATTTCCACTGATAAAATAAGGAAGTGCATATCAGGTATAAAAGCGTCATCAAAATTGTTAACTGAAGTGTTATACTTAAAGATTTCGTAAATACAATTGTGATTTTCACGGTAACCATTGTAGCTATAATAATTTTTTTCTATTGAAAATTAACACAAGAAAACGTTGCAATAAAAATTACGTAGTTATGATTATTCAATAACCCTCTATATACTACCCACAAAAACTTTCGAATTGGATGATGTTCATTAGAAAATTTTGAGCACTTTGTAGCATAGACAAAATGCTATTAGAAAAGTGATTTTTAAAGTTTTAGTGCCGAACAAAACTCTCTCAAGCTTTAAAGAGGCATGAGTGAAATTTAGGACGTAATGGTTGAAGAAAAATCTAATTTCAAAAATACCTCATGCAAAATGTGACAGCGAAATATTAGATATAACACAATTCAATTAGCTTTATAATCTTTTGTTTGCTTCGCATAAATATTGATCATTAAAATAAAAGATAAATAATGCTATATCAAGCATTGACATAAATCTAGTAATCTTTCTATCAAGCGCTATAGCTTGCTGTTTAACTTCTTATTTAATTTCTATACGTTTTAAGTAGCACGATATTTGATAATACAATTTATATTTTCGGTTTTGGTCGAAATTTCATTTTTACCCATGCCATAAGAGTAATGTAATATTTAACCTTATTATGTTATTGATTTCATTCGAATTATTAGCCGAGATTTTATAATTTGATGACTTCAATAACATAATATCAATAAGAAATCAATCAAGCCAAATTTATAAAATCCAGGCCTGCAATAAAATACAATTTTGATATTAGTATGACTTGGCTGCCCAAATGTGTGTGATTTTAATGTACGGACTTCAAAACAACGAAGACTTACTTGGCGCGATTAGAAAACAACATTGTGTTTTGATTTGCTTAGTAAAAATATTGACAGGAAATTGTATAACAGCCCACATATCAAGTGTGTTTGTTGTTTGTATGTTGGAATCAAATCTTTATAATTCGTTAATAATGACCAAGATTGATCAAGAAACCAAGCATTACTGCAATATTAAAAACAATGAAGTCTCAGCGGGCATTTATTGTACGCGAATGGGAATTATTAATCTTGAGAAGAAATTGTTGAAAATTAGTCAGAATTACTCAGAAAGTTAATTTTCTTGTCTTCCTGGGGTTCGTGGTTTTAACACAATGTTGGTGGTTTTTAAATAAATGCTTCATTAGGTTTTTTGCGCACCTAAAAGGGGTATTTGTTTATATTAAGTATAAAGCGAGCCGAGCCGAGTTTTGAATATTCGATGGCTTCAATATTATAACAACAATTGTATATTTAGGAGGCTATTAACTCATAAAAGCTAGCCCGCTTCAAATAACAATTTAAATAGGGTATGAACTGGTTGCTCAAATATATAAGATTTTAATGTATAGGCTTCAAAATAACGAAGATGTGCTCGAAGCAATGAGGAAAAACTCTGTGTTTCGATTTGCTTAGTCAGAGTAATGACAATATTGTTTAACAGCCCACATATTGTTGTTATTGATATTGTGTTGTTAGTTGGTTGAAATCTAATCTGAATAGTTCGTTCGAACGAAATAGCACAAATACAGACGTGGTACCGAGCATTAAGAAGATCGTCCTGTTGATCAATGGCGCCAATTTTCATAAAATGCTGTGTATTAGAATAATACAGATGTAATGGAAAAAATTTTTGAGGCAGTCGAAAAAAGTACCATCGTTTTGGAGGTGACAAACCTGCGGCCAGCGGCCCTCCAAAGAATTTCGTGTGGCACTCGAAGCAATACCAATGAGATACAATACCACCTGAATATTAGGGAAGCTATAAATTCATACAATCTAGCCCGCAATAAAGGACAATTTTGATAGGGAATCGGATTAATATATCGGTCGCCGCTGCTTGGATATTCTGACAATCAAAGAAATTTAATTTATTTTTTAACTTTGTTTTATATCAATATAACAGTTGTAAGATTTTCACAACAATGCTACTAATTGTAGCAATTACATTTCTCAGTTTTATTGAAGGTTTTATGACGCAACATCATAATGGTGAGTATTTATAATTGTTGATAATAAACTGTTGGAAAGAATAGATTCATTTGCATAATGCTTTGTATAAATCACATATAAAGGCTTCGAAAATCAATCACACAAAATCAATACTAACAGTTGAAAAATTAGGTAATTAATTAAATATCAAGTACTCAAGAAAAGTCAACATAATGTTGAATTTAAAAGAACAGACACTTCTTTGAGTACTCAGACATACTCAATTCGATGGGAATGAAATATAATCTATTGCATAGTTTAATCAAGTTCAAGTTTGTGTAAAAAGGAATTGCCAATTTCAAATTTGGATAAAAATGTTTTGGACGGATCAAGAAACCGAAGCGCTATTGCAATATCAAAATAAAAAATAATAATTTTTAGCTGGTATTTATTCGACGCAAATTATACTTATAAATCTTGTGAATAAATTGTAAAAAATTACTCTAAAATAGCACTTGTTGAGTATGAAAGTGCTCAGAAAGTTAATTTGCCGTCTTCTTGTGACTCGTGGTTTTACCACATAATTGGGTGTATTAAAATGCTTCACTAACACCAGAAAATGGTTAATTTCGGTGTTTTATAAAGTTGAATGAAGTTTGTTCTAATAAAATATATTGAAAAAGTAGCGCTATTAAAGCTTTTTTGATTTTTTATTTCAGTTGAAAAGAAGGCTTTTTTGGAAGTAGTGTTTGTAGTTGATGGATCGGGATCTATTGGAAAAGAAAAATTTGCAATAATGAAGGAATGGCTTGTAAATCAAACAGTAAAAATATATGAAGCTTTTGGAGACTCTGCACATGTTGGAGTATTACAATTTTCAGACAAGGACAATCCATGGGACGGGTATTATGTGCCTTTACTTTTCTATTTATATATCGGATAATATCACTCTCTTGTATAACAATCTAGTGTAATTTAAACCTCTTAAATTTACTGACTTGTTGAATGTTAAAAATGGTGACCAATTCAAATACCGAAATAAATATTAATAGAAAATAAATTTCAATCAATGTTAACGTTCGCTTTGTTTTTAATTTAGTTTGGTTAATTCTATAACAATTACTTCTAGGGTTTCGATTAAAGATTCAAAAAAGTTTGTTATTCCATTTGTGCTGGGAGAATGCGTGAATAATGCATCCTGTTTCACACCAAGGATTATGAACATGCCATACTTGAATTCGGCAACTTACACTTACTATGCACTACGGAGAGTAATGGAGGTTAGATGGCTTGTGCAATAGAAGAATAAAACGTACGAGCAAACTGCAATGTTTCTTATATCAATTATTGGTGATGACGAATTTTATTGGCGTGGATATATGGTTGTGACTATGTTAATTTAAAGTATTTACATCGCTAACAAAATATTATACCAATATTTTTTTTTTCACGTTTGCAACCATTTTACACAGGTTTTATTCAATTTCATTTTAGTCATTCGTTTATAGACATTATTTGAACCATTGTCTAGCGTTCTTATTTTTGTGACATAATTTTTTTTTTGTATTTTAACCTTGTTACGCGTTTTTCTTGCCACCAAACCCCACATTAAAGGTTTCACGCCAAAAACATCGAACTATTCAAGAAAAAACTTTTTATCACTTAATTATATGCAGGTGGAATTTCCAAAATCTCGGAGTTTCACCATTTCCAAAAAGACAGTGATTGTTGTGACTGATGGCGAAGCGAATGATCATGCTTTCCTTCGTGGCTGGTATGTTGCATAGTTACTTTGTAAACTAGCTCTGACATAAGTTAATTAAAATGATATATTATATTATTCATTTTATTGGTGAATAAATTCATTAAATGTGGATTGAACATCTGCCGCAAATTATTGACTTCCACATTTTAAATATTTGTTTTAACACAATCTTAGAAAATTGCAGCTGCATCTCATTTAGCTTAATTTTGACTGATTAAGATTTAGTCTTGTCAGATTTGTGGATAGGGTCAGCAAAATAGATTTGTATTAGCGCATTTTGCTGTCATTTCCTTTCTAAGTCGGACAGACATCAATTGCGAAGAAGTTAAAAAGTATCTAAAATAAGGAACCCAGACTATTTCATTCGTTGATTTTTCCGAGGCTGAGAATTATTAGTTCTTCTTATGATTTGAATATTATATATATCAAAGTCGTACATATCTTACCTGTTCAAAGTAGTCATTGAAAGGTACCTTATATAATTCAATATCATATACACATTAATCGCGGTTCTAATGAAGTTTCCGCAAGGCGAATTAGAGCGTTGACTTCCACACGATTTCTCTGTTTGTGATAAGAGATAATAATAAAAATATTTTCGCAGTAAGTTGTACTAAAAATTCAGAAATATTTTTATTGACGCGGATCAGCGCTGGTACACGGACAGGTGGTTGAGAACCGCTGTCCTAAAAGAACGTTAAGTTAAAGTTTACACAATATTTTAATCCATGATAAAATGAGTTGGGGATGGCGAAATATGACGTAAAATAAAAAATATGACTGAGTTAGAAAATTTGAGGCTTCAAAAGTGCATAATAACATACGTAGGCTACTGTTTTAATAACTGATCTATTTTGAATTTAAGGCATGATAAATACAAAGATGCGGTGACCGCGATTGCAATAGGAGTTGGGAATTACAACAAGTTTTTTTACCAGTTGCAAAATATCGCAAACGGTGGCACGGGGAACGACAGGATTTTTACTTTAAGTGGTTTCAATGAATTGCAAAAGCATTCTTCAGATTTGATAACTACTCTCATTAAATCAACAGGTAGGCCCATGTCATTTACTGATATGAAATTTGCACTAAGATGAACCGACATAACCACAACAAACAATTGAAAATCGGATACGAACAAAAACCTTCGAATAAGAAAATATTGCAGAATATATTAAAATTATTAAGCACTGTTATTCGATAACAATTTTGCCTATATATCTATAGATAATTGTTTGGGTATGAATTTGTAACCCTCATGCTGATGTAGTGACTTAACCTTATCTAAAAGTTGATTAAATTTGCTTAGATCTGATATGGAGTTCGTGGTCATCTTGCTCAACATCGTGTTCACCTGGTATTCAGATGCGAACAATTACTTTCCGCAATGCAACAGGAACATTGAATGGAAGCGTTATTGTAAATCAGGTAAACTAATTTGAAATATGTGGAGAGATATTCTAGATTAGTTTTTGAATGAAACTGAATCAAGAATTTTGTTGCTGCTGTACATTTATAAATCTTATTAAATACTACATAGCAAAGTTTTTTCAATCAAACACGTATAAAAAGGGAAAAATATAGATAATTAAATTGGTAATGTTATTTTTTATTAGCCAAATATCCGTAATGAAAATATTGGGCGGTTTCCGAAAACGACCTGAACAAGATGTTGCTTTGAAGTCATGTCTTGCGTACAAAATCAATATCAAGATAGCATTCAAAGATAGAAAAAAAAAAAAACTATTGAAACGCTTCATGGCTCAAATAAAACAATCTGTCAACAATCTTTTGAGTCACGAATCACACTGTTAAAAACTTGTAGTAATACAGTTGTCTGGGTTAAATCACATATTTGATATCCATAAGAGGTATGTTTTATTACACACAGACAAAAGCATGCAACGAAGATTTGTGCGCGCTCTACTATGACAATGACTTGCGATGTGCAGGCCCTGGTATCATTCCTACCCAGTGCTCTGTGGATGCATTCAGAAAATTGCTGCTGAAGAATGTTAATTGGGACGAAATAGGACAAAATGAAAGTAAGTGTCTTATGTTTTCCGATGGTGCAATTTAACAATTAAAATCATCAAATGGAAACAAAAATATTTAAACTAGTAAAAGAGGATAGAAGTTTAAACAATTCGAATGATTCATAAATTTAATTAATATTATTGTTTTCAGAAATTATTGAATCACCAGTTAAAGGACTAAGAATGAAACTCAAACAAATCAAGTCACCAGGAATGAACATAAAATTAGTGAATATAGAAAGATATGACGCTATGAAGCCCTAGGAAGACCATGACTTCAATATAAAGTTGTATTAAAACTGCTCATTCGATAATTATTCATAACCATGTTAATATTTTCCACTGATTATGTTTCAGCAGTCTGAAAACGTTTGTACTTTTGCATTTCTGTTACGACTCTGAAAAGTTTACAAGTTTTTCATTTGTCTTATGATATTTCGTTTTCCCATAAGTAAACTAGTTTGCAAGAAATTATATGAATAATATATATATATACATCTGTTCATTTATTTCAACATGTTATCCATTAAACAATGACAGTGTATCCACTGATAATGCTCCAGCAGTTTGAAAATGTGTGTATTTCTTCGTATTCTATTACAAATGTATAAACTATTTTAATGTATAAATTGACAATTTGCTATATTGTTATTCTTCATTGTATGCGGATTTTTCGCTATCCCTTTGGTAAACTACTTTGCATGGAATTGGTTTATTTTCAACGAATGATATTTATTAAGGATATTTTGTTCTTGCTTTTCAATCATCATTTGTACATGTTTGATTTAATTTTGGACAGAATGAAGAAATAAAAAAAAAATTAAATGATTTGCATGAAGTCTGCTGTAAACATTTACAGCCATTGGGGTTGGGGCGCATTATGTAATTCTGTTGCCAAATACATTCTGTATCGTGTAAATCAGTTGTCTGAAAACGGTATTTACCACTTGGCCAAATATACACATTTCGGTAGTGTGCGTACGCAATCATTTTCGACTATGAACAATCGCAGCATTAAATTATATGACGCACTTGCGCCTCTTGTTCCTGCGCTGAACACCTGCCTCAGTAAGATATGTATGTAACTGTTTCTGATCTGTTATCAACAATTAATTTTTTTTATCTATTTATCAGCAATGTGAAGGATAATACGGGCCGATCCCGGAATAAAAATGTTCAGTTATATTTAATGTTCATAATACGATCCCAAGCTTTTAATTTCTTGAGTTAAACTCAAATACAGAATCGTTTTATTCAACTTTATATTCAAACTCATATCGTTCTTTGTAAGTATCATAACTGTAAAAATAGGACGATTTACAATGCTGTCCACGCATTAAATACCTGCGCCTAAGGATTGAGTCTGAATTTTCGATGCGCACGATTTTTAAGGCTCCCGGAGTTGTTGATTATGACAATTTAATTTGAAAAGACTATCATAATTTGAATATACTGACATGATAGACGAGTAATTGAACTTATTCAAAAAATTGCATATTTTACATTCAAGTTTTGAATTTGATTTGAATTGAAAATATCTACAGATTTTGCGCAAAAAAATCTAAATGCCAAGTTGGTATATTAGCTGTCTATGAGTTATAGGTATTCATATTTCACTGCCAACTTTCTATAAAATTTAGATCGCAATATGATTGAATATTGTTTGCATTTAATGAATCACTAGATAAAAACATTGGAATTCACTAAAACTCAAACGTCTCGAATATAACAAAATTTATTATCATCTCGTACCAATATTATAAACATCTCATTTACTTCCGACGACCTTGAATGATTATACTATAATGGAAAATTTTCAAAATGGAACCCTTTATATATATAAACTATGAGTGGTTTTCCAAGTTTTTAGTAGATTGAAGCGTCAATGAAACATACCAGAACCCAAGTGAAATAGTTTGTCTCTTTCGTTCTGATCTGTAAAAACTATAAATATATAAATATCAGCAAAACTAACACGGGCAAATCGAATGGCAATCCTTAAAGGCATATGATTATATTTGGAAATTATACATTTATCAATATAAACTCCACGATTTGAATAGAAACCACTGGAGTGTACGTGCGGGACCCCGAGGTGCCGCAAAAGCCCGACAGAAAACAACTGTTGTAAATCATTATCTTATAATAAAGATACGGATAAATTTGAATTATTCCATATTAAATGAATTTTATAAATTGTTAAAAAGCCCACATATCCAGTGTGTTGTTAGTTGGCTGGGATTCAATCTGAATAATTCGTTATTGATGACCAGGATTGTGCCCAGAGTTCGGAGGAAATAGCATAATAATAGACGAGGTACCGAATACCGAACAATAAGAAGATCGCTCCTTGAGTCAATTTCACCAATAGCTCCAAAAGACATTTTCATAAAATGCAGTATATCATAATAATGAAAATGTGATAGAAATGATTCTGTAGGCAGTTTAGACAAATATGCACCATTCAAGGTCTATTGATATATCGGTCGCCGCTGCTTTGGATATTGAAAAAAAATTCAATGCGAAAGAATTTTAAATTTTTGTATAGATCAATCAAGTACAAGTTTGTGTAAAAATAAAATGCCGGTATCAAATTTTGGTAAAAGTTTTTTGACGTATTAGAAACCAAAGCAGTACTGCAATATTAAAAAAAAGAATTCCTAGCGGGCATTTATTGGACACAACTAGACTTATAAATCTTGTTAAGAGAGTTATTGTAAAAAATATTGTCAGATAGCACTAGTTGAGGATGAAAGTGCTTAGACAAGAAGATCGCTCTGTTGGTCAATGGCCCCAATAGCTCCAAAGAACAACTTCATAAAATGCTTTATATTAGAATAATACAGATAAAATATAAAAAATTATCATCGCTTTAGACAAAAGTTGTCGGACCTGCGGCCAGAGGCCGCCAAAGAATTTTGTGCGGAATATCATCGTTTTAAAAGAATTTGCGTCCTTCAATGATGATTTAAA